AAACACGTTGCTTTTCAAGATGGAAAACTGCTTTAAGTGTGCCAGGTGTGGTGCCTTTGACCGCTCCCTGGGGAGGCACAGGTGGGTAAATCAAAGTCAGGTTGTTCGACACAGTGAGTTCCAGGCTAGCCAGGGTTACATAGTGAAACGCTGTCCACAAACCAAAACCACACACACACACACACACACGTGCGCGCCCATGCACAAAACTTTCCATTACCCCAAATACCGTGTTTTTGAGTCCCTATTAAAGCTAAAACTATCCATTTAAATATTCCAGAGTTCAGTTGCTCAAAAGAACAGTGACATGGGACCCTTTGCAAAATTGCATTTATTAATTAAATTATGAAGGGAAATATGGAAGTAGCTGATTTTGGAAAAGTGGGGGATTGAAGAGGGTAAAAAGAAGGAACCAAAATTTGGCCAAAAGCATCTAACAAATGGAAAAGTCATCATAAAATGATATTATGATTCACAGATGGCCTCTCCAGTAAACCTAAACATCCTTCTAATGAACTTTTTTTTTTAACTTTTTTGTTTTGGTTTCATTTTTGGTTTTTTGAGACAGGATTTCCCTGTGTAAAGAGCCCTGGCTGTCCTGGAATTCACTGTGTAGACCAGACTGGCCTTGAACTCACAGAGATCTGCCTGCCTCTGCCTCCCAAGTGCTGGGATTAAAGTCATGTGCCACCCCCCCCCCATCTAATGAACTTGGAAGCATTTTGAAAATATGAAACTTTGAAAACATCAAAATGTATCCTTCCTGTGTGTGGGGGGGGATGAATCTAATTTAATAGCAACCTTGTATGGGGACAGAAACATTAATTTAATAGCAACCTTGCATGGGGACAGAAACGGTAAGACATAGGGGGGTGCTGGGCTCAAGCTAGTGACTCTGGAAGTCCCTTTACAAATGCAGTGTCGGGAGCTGGAGAGATGGCTCAGAGGTTAAGAGCACTGGCTGTCCTTCCAAAGGTCCTGAGTTCAATCAGCAACTACATGGTGGCTCATAACCATTTACAGTGAGATCTGGTACTGTCTACAGGCAGAATGCTGTATAAATAATAAACAATAAATGATAAATCTTTAAAAAAAAAAAAAAAACAAGTCCAGTGTCAACCATTTTGGGCAATTTAACTTGCCTGGGCTATTGTCCAGATCAACGGAGAATGTGAGTCCGGTAATTGCAAACATACTCAAACTCCGGAAGCCCCCCCTCCCTTGTAAGCTGCGTGACTCCACCCAGCCTCCTGTGGAATGCCTCCTTCATGCAGACACTGGGTGTATCATCTCCCCAAACTCCATACTGCTCTGTGACGGGGCCATGATGGGTGAGGAGTGAGAAAGTGAGGCCCAGAATGGGATGGTCAAGTGTTTTGCCCAAAGTCACATTCTAAAGGGTCAGGGTCCATAAGAAGCCATCTCTCTGAACACAGAGTCCTTCTTGCTGATGGCAGCAGTACAGGAGCTGCTCACTGCAGCATCAGGACCAGGCTCAAGCAGAGACTGGGCAGTGACATCGGCTAATGGCTGAGTCCATTCCAGCAGTATCCACTCACATGGCTGCCCCCTTGGGCGGCTTTCAGACAAGCCTCTCAGGTCAGCAAGGATGATCTAGAGCCGGGTTTTTGTCTCTTGTCATAAATGCAATGTCACTCATTCACCTGAGTACAGGAATGAGGCAAGGAAGGAACACACAGCAGGGGTGACGCTTGTGTGTGCCACAGGTTTTATCCAAATGCTGCTTCCATTTCTTCTACCCTCCCCCCCATAATACTTTCCTTTTACCTCTCCACTTCCCACCTCCCTTAAAATCTCTCCCTCGTGATCACCCCTTTAGTTTCATGACCTACAAACACACATACATACACACACACACACACACACACACACACGAATGCCATTTTAAATGTAGGCTCCCCAAGTGACATAGATGTGGTTACTTCCTTTTCTGAGTCTGGCTTCGTCTGAGTACCATAACAAGTTACATCACAATCACATCCTGCAAATGTCATGCCTTCATCTTTCCTTATGGCTGCATTGAATTCTATTGTGCACAAGTGTCACACATTTTAAAAAAATACCTTCGTCTGTTGACGGACATCTCAACTGCCCTAATTCCTGGCTGTCGCACACAGCAGAGCTACAAACATGGATGTCCAAGTATCCATAGTATGTTGACTAAGAGTCCTTCAGGTATGTCCCCCAGAGTGATGTAGCTGGGTCATGTGGTGTTCTATTTTCAACTTGTTGAGGCGTCCACATATAATTTCCATAGTGGCCACACAGTTTACATTCCCACCCACGGTGGACAAAGAGTTCCTTTTTCCCCACATCCTCACCAGCACTTGTCATTTGTTTTCTAGATGCTGGACATGATGGCTGAGGACAAGATAAAATTTCAAAGTAGTTTTAATTTGCATTTTCCCCAAGAGATAGATTTTCCCAGCATTATTTTAGCTGTTTGAATGTTTCTTGTTTGAGTGATGATGTACATCACTCCATTAACGAATGCAGAGCCTCCCATGAATATATGTTCATGGAGGTAAATATTATTAATACACACTTTTTTTTAATGCTGTCTGGATGCTGGGCAGTGGTGACACACGACTTTAGTCCCAGCACTCAAGAGGCAGGGACAGGCAGATCTCTGTGGGTTCAGGGCCAGCCTTGAGAGTTCCAAAAATGTACCCAAGTACTGCTGGCTAAATATATATATAATCAAACCAAATTCAATGTGTCAGACAAATGTTCTAAGCAGGGATCACACAGAGGAAAAGCGCAGCCTAGTGCCTGGTTCCCCCTGAGACCTGGTTGCAGTCTTGGCTCTATTTCCTGCCTCTCTGTAAACCACTTCTTTTCTGCCTTGCATATTTTCAGTTCTTGCCAAATTCTCCAACTCTCTGCCTTCTCCTGATGTGTGCTAAAATCTACAAGCTAGTTTCCAATTTTTCTCACACTTTCTTGACCTGGGGTCACTGAGAATTACAGACTAAAACCTGTCTTTCCAGGTTCCTATCAGAACTGGGAAAGAAGTTCTGCAAAACACAGGTGTTGGTTCCCACCTCAGCTCTGAGAACACAGCCAGGGCCTGTCTGGTGACAACCACACCACCAACCCACCGCCAACCAACATGCCCCAGATGGTTTCCGCCATGTTCCTTCACCACCCAGAGATGCTCTGAGGAGCCTCCGTCTGGAAGCCAGCCTCGCTAGCTATTGTGTTATCTCAGATTCCGATTCTAGCATTAAACTTAACTTCCACTTTGATTTTCATAAAAATTTTTCTCCTGTATGCCTGCATAGTCACAGAAGTCAACAAATATCCTCTTCTACAAGTCTCCAAAGGTGGTTTAATCGTTGCTTAGTGAGGCAAGGAAGCAGGCATAGTCAGTCTTCTGTTACCAAAGAAAGGAAGAATGTGTCTTCTGTTTCCTTTAAGAAGAAAGATCTGGGCCTGGTAGCACTGGCCTACTATTAGCGCCTCAGAAGGTAAAGTCAGAAGGATTATAAACTGAAGATAGCCAGGTATGGTGGTGCAAGTCTTTACTCCCAGCACTTGGGAGACAGAAGCAGGCGGATCTCCAAGTTCGAGGCCAGCCTGATCTACAAAGGGAGTTCCAGGACAGTCAGAGCTACATGGAGGTACCCTCTTTGGTAAATCAACCAACCATCCCAAGAAACAAACAAAAAAACCCTCCAGATAGTTCTTGCTAAAGAGTGAGTTCAAGGCTGGCTTTGGAAAATTTACAGAGACTATGTCTGAAAATAAAAAGTATTTTGGTAGTCAAGCATGACTGTAGTAAGTAATCTCAGAACTTGGGAGGTGGAGGCAGGAGATGTAGGCGCTGAAGGCCAGCCTGTTTATATTATAGAGTGAGTTTAAGTTCAACAGAAGCCACTTGAGATCCTGTTTCAAAACCAGTAACTAATTAACTAAGTAAATAAATAAGTATATAAAGAGTGGCTGGAGAGACAGCTCAGTGGGTAAAAGCACTTGCTGTTCTTCTAGAGGTCTTGGGTTTGAATCCCAGCACCCAGTTGGAAGCTAACAACCATCTAACTCCAGTTCTAGGGGATCTGATGCCCTCTCTGGCTTCTGCAAATGGTGCACAAACATCTATACACACAATTGCTTTTAAAGTATAAAGTAAAATTAAATAAATAGCTAAAGGATGGCTGTGTGGCGAGGTGCCAGGCTACCATGCAGGAAGTCTAAGGTTTAATGCAAGTTTAACAAAACAAATACCACACCAAAACCCTCGTGTCTTTGGAACAAGATCAAAGAATGCCTAAGACTTAGTTATTTTTCCAGTATTGTAACAAAATACCCGACAAAGGCAGCTTCAAGAAGGAAGGCTTTATTTGAGGTCATTGTTCCAGGAAGCCATAGCAGCAGCAGGGCGCAGCTTGGTAACGGTGCGTGTGCAGTCAGGAGGCGGCGATGAGCATCAGCGCTCAGCTCCCTTTCCTCTTGTTCAGTCCAAGACCCCAGCCCATGGGATGGCGCTGTCCTCCCTGAGGGAGCACCCTCCCATTTCTATTAACCCGATCCATAGACTCTCTCACAAAGATGTTTGTCTCCCAGGTGGTTCTAGAGTCTGTCAGGTTGACATTCAGTATTAAGTATCATGAAGGATTAAGAGCAACAAACCTAGTACAGTAGGCTGCTGTTTATTCTGAGCAGAGGGGAAATAAGAGCGGCTGATAGGACCTGCCAACAGATTACACTGATTCCAGAGACACTCTCCCTTTGACCTCAGCACGGCCCCTCGCTTTCTGTATTCAGGCAGGGCAGCTAAGACCTGCACAGTATTCACTGCGCTCAGAATGATCCTATCAGCTACAACCCTCCTTCTGGTTTCTGGCCTCTAGGAGGTAACTTTGGTTGGTTTCTCTTCCTTCAGGATGAACCTGTTTTCGTCTTTCTGCAACAGCTCCCCATTTCCAGGAATTAGGAACCAAAATAGTTCTGGCTTTGAGGTTAACTATGTGCCAGATAACACCCCTCTTCTCTTCCTCCTGTCACCACAGGATGGTCAGCCCCAGCCTGTGTTCTAAAACTAACACCCTGGCCCTTCTCTGTTCCAGGCTGTGACCCCAACTTTTTCATCTTAAGAGTTCAGATTCCCTGAGGTGCTGAAGATCCCCAGGGTTGACCTGTCATCCCCTGTTCCTGTTGGCTGAGCTGTTCATAGCACAAAGATCTAGATTTGACGATGCCAGTAGACACTGTGGCCAAATAAGGCAAGCTTTATATTTATTTTCTTTTTTTTAACTAACATTCAAAAGGCAAATGACGTCCCAGGACCACTGTGACCCGGGGAGTCTGTAGCTGGTGTGGTCTGACATTCATGAAACAGTGTTAAGTCTCTTGAGCTGAGATTTTGGCCTGCTCGTCACTGAATTCTCACAATAAGTCGTTGATGTGTGCCTAGCTAAGCAAGTTCCTGGTTGGAGCCTTCATCAAATTCAGACACCATTTCCAGGAGAAGGCACTATGTCAGAAGGACTAGATGAACAGCTGTCATACAGATGCTGACATCTGTTTGGGGTTTAGGGGTGGGGTAGGAGCAGGGGCAGTGGTTAGAGCTTTATTCTTGCATCTAAAGAAAGATGGGTTGAAGTTCTGTCTTTCTGGATGGCATGCTGTTTATCTGACTGGGTGATCCATTCCTTTGACCAGATGGAGAACTCTCTAGCTCACTGGAAGTTATCATGAGGGTCTATCTAGATGGGTCTCTGGCTGGAGCTGGGCCTGTCAGTCCAGGCAGGCATCTGTCTGAGGGCTTTGTCAAATTAGGACTCTGTCTGAGGTGCACTTTCCAGTGGGTGCATGGGGAAGGGATTGCAACAGCCACTCACTCCTGGTGTTCTTAAATTTTCTCAGGGTAGCCCCTCCCCCCCTTACCATCACCGACACTTACCTCTCCCAGTCCCCCGTCTTTGATTGCTATAATCACTGGGGCAAAGCCCTTTTTTTTTTTTCCCCGTCCTGAGAAACTTTTATTTTGATCCAGACCCACAAGTCCCATTCATACATAACATAGGGCACAGCAGCATGGTGGCTGCAATAGTCCAGCCATCACTGAGCGGCAGGCCGTATCTGGCGCACGGCACTCACACCCGAGTCCACTCCGCTGGCGGTTCCCGTGGCCCTTTAGGCCTTCCAATGCGCATGTTGAAGCCTGAGGGAAGAAGGGTGCCATGCAGAGGCTGTGGTGTGAAAGGGTAATCCTCCTTAAAACCCCCGCAGGCGCACCTCCAGGTCCGGGTTATAGGAAGAAGAGGACGTGGTGATGAGCCCTGAGCTCCAGCCCGAACTCCCAAACGCCCGGGGCTCTCCAAAGCGTACCCTAGGCTCTAACTAGCTCACCTAGCCCACCAGTTTGCGCTCCGTTTGTTACTTCTTCATAGGCGTCAGGTCCGGGAGGGTTTTGATCTGCAGGAACTGCGGGCCGGGAGAACCCCTACAGGTCAGCTTAAACAGCCCAAGTCCCAGGGACTCCTTAGAGCGCAGCTACAGACTTCCCTTCCCGAGGTAGCAGTTGGAGGCGGAGCCGTGGGCGTGGCCATGTGTGGAGGTCAGTCTTCGGAGCCCGACTTAGACAACCCAATCTCCCAACCGAGACCTGACCTCCTGACCTGGGGCTCACTTTGTGGCTGGAGCCGTGACAGTTAGGAGCCCGAGGGCGTGGCTACGCTGGGTCTAAGGCTGACCTCCGCGTGGCCGCTTAGACCCTCCCGAGCCTTAACAGGGTGGGGAACCTGCAAAGAGGTGCTCTCGGGTCTCCCTCAGCCCGACATCCCGGACGGCCCCAACTCACCACGGCCCAGTGGCGACGTTCCCTGCGCGTCCTCCGTTTGTGCGATGGGCCGCTGGGCACGTGCTGCCACCTGGCTGTAGATCGGGGTGTCAGCGCTGCTGGGCGCCCGCGTCCCCGGCCCTGTGCCCGCTGGAGCGCCACGCTTCTGCACCACGGCGTAAGTGTCGGCCATGGGAAGGGTCGGGGGACCGGGCACCGAGATGCTCCTGCAACGGGCAGCAAACAGAGGAAGTGAAACCGCTGAGCACGACGGAGAGCGGGGGGGAGGGAGCAAGCGCACCCCAGGCAACTGGGCTTCCTTCCTGCCTGCCCTAGTCCCCAGAGCAGGAAAGGAGAAAAGGGGCGGGCCACCTGAGGGCACAGAGCCGGTTCCGTGTCCCTGGTATCCCCACATCAGGAAGGACAGGGCCTGATTGGTAGGTGGGACTAGGGAGGAGCCATGACTTGGTCATGTGTGTGTGTGACCCCAGCATTCCTACAATTGAAATCGAGACAGGTGGGTCCGCAGAAGCCTGAGGTACCTGGCCAGACTGTCTCAAAACACATGGGAGGAGAGGGCCCGTTCCCAAAGTTGTCCCCTGGCCTCCCAGCAACATGTGTGTGTGTGTGTGTGTGTGTGTGTGTGTGTAGGGGGAGTGTTTCTAAAAACATCTCTGCCTAATTAATTACCTTCTGGGAGAGCAAGGGAAAGGCCAACCCAGAATGAAGGGGGTTGGTGTTCCAGGGGAAGAGCAAGCCTCGAGCAGATAGAACCAGTACCTGAGAACCCCACCTGGTGGGCGGGATACGGCGGGCAGGGCTGGGGAGGTCCTGAGCGACAAGGCATCCTTGCAGATTGGGGCACAGTTCTGCAGAAAAGCAGGCGGGGAGGGTCGTGAGGCTTTAACCTGACGCAGGCCACTGTGGGCGCTGAGTGTGAGCTTAGGAGGGGACCGCCTGGGAAGGGGTTCCGAGGAGGCAGAGGGGCCTTTCACAGAGTTGCAGCTCTCGGAGGTGTTGATGGCTGGCACGCAGAGTGGAACTGGGGGCTCTGTACCTCCTTGAGGTTCTGGTAGTGGGGGCTGGCGTTCTGGAGAGTGCTGGAGAAGAGCTGGGCCACTGTGTGGTACAGGAACCTGTACTGCTCCTGTTGGGATGCGTAGTCACTGAGAAGGGAAGATGGCGACGAGACGGATGCCTCCCTGTGTCCTCGGAGTGGGAAAACGGGGAAAGCACATACCTCTGTCTGCACTGCAGCAGGCCGCTGTTTGCGCATCTCAAGGACCACTTCGAAGAGGCTGAAATTGGGTGGGACTGTCTGGGAGAGAGAGGCGGAGTGTAAACCGGCCCTGGTAGGCATGGGTGAGGCAGGCGTGGGGCGCACTGCACGCAGAGACCATAACGTCATACCTGGGTCAGCAGTAACTGCCTCACGTAATCAACAGCACACAGGACACCTGTTCGTCCACAGCCAGCACTGACAATCAAGAATCAGAGCAGACTCCATCATGGCCTGCCCACAATGTCCTTTTTTTCCATTCTTTTCCTCTTCCCACAGGTCTTGCTGTGTTGCCCAGGCTGGCCTCCGACTTCAGCTTCCTAAGTGCTGGAATGTCAGGCCTGTCTAGCTCTAGGGATGCCACAACCCCTTCTGAGCTGTGCTCCCCTGCAGTGCCTCTCAAACTGGGATCCTTAGATTGCGTTAAATGAAACATTTTCGTTTTTATAGGTACATTGGTGTGTGGGATAATGTGTGTGGGATACTACATTTGAGACAGGGTTTCTTACTAAACTGGTGCTCACAAATTGGCTCGACTACCTGGCTAGCAGCCCCCATGGATCCTTTTGCCTCTATCCTTCACCCAGCACTGGGAGACAGGAACAAGCTACCTGTCCTGGCTTTTGCGGGACGCTGAAGCTCTGAACTCAGGTGCATGTACAGCGAGTACTTCCCTCACTGAGGTATTTCTTCAGCACTGTTCAACCTTTTGTATTTAGATTTGTGAACTGTCAGCTCCATGCCTTCTCCCCAGCAGACGGTCTATTCTAGCTAAGAATTCCAGGTCTCCCCATCATGAACACATGGCCAGACGTTTCTCAAAAGAAAACTACAAAGGTAAGGCTGGCTCCAAGCCTTGACATCTCTTCCTTGCCTTTCTGTCTCACCCTCTCCCTTCTGCCTCACCAGATCTTCGTAAACCCTATTTCCTAAACCTGCAGTGGACACAGAGCGGTCCAGGTCCAACTCCTTGGAGGCGACGGGCCTCCTCCACCATGGCGAGGATGTGATCAGGATGGCTGGGAACCCCGTGGTCTGGCCAGGACATGTACTGGAGCTGGTGCACGGAGCGGGATTCCTGAGACAGGGGCACAGAGAATAGGAGAAAAGCACATTTAATGAGCACCTACCACGGTTCTGAGTATATCCCACTTAAATCCACCAGATAAGGCTCGGTGGGTGGGAGAACACATGTGTCTACCTCCAGCACCACAAAGAAAAACAAACCCACTTCGTAATGACCCGGGGTGATGGAAACTAACTACTATCATGAGTGTCCATTTTGCAGAACAGGAAACAGCTTGTCCCATGCAAGAGCCCCTTCACCTTTTGACCTCTCAGTACCTTCTGGAATGTAACCTGGAGGGTCCTGAGAATGATGTCTGCATTCACTGGTGTTTCCTTCATCTGAGCGTGTTGGAAGAGGAAAGAGAACACAGAACAGAAACAGATTCCTGGGATCACGGACTTTCTAGGTGGTCGAGACAGGAGAGCTTCCTGGCTTGTCTTACAGTTTAGACTCTCTTGGACTGGCTCACTCAGTGTCTACAGTTCCCAAACCTTAGTGTGTATGTATATACATATGTGTGTGTATTCATACCTATTGCTTCCTTGTACATTTTCATCAAATTCTTTTTTACTCCAAAAGAACGTTTTTTTAACTCCTATTTTTATGTGCATTGATGTTTTGCCTGCATGTCTGTGTGTGTGTGTGAGGTCATTAAATCCCTTCGAACTGGGGTTACAGACAGTTGTAAGTTGCCACGTGGGTGCTGGGAATTGAACCCAGGTCCTTTGGAAGAGTAGCCAGTGCTTCTTAACCACTGAGCCATCTTTCCAGCTTCCAAAATATTTTTAAATGGTTTCACCTCCAATGATGATATTTCCTTTAGGTAAGTATTATGTTATTGTAAATATGGCCATATATTTTCAATTCAAACATTTTAAAATTTTCTTTTGGCCCAAATTTCTCTCACAGCTTTCAAGGAAACTTTTGTCAGAAAGAGAAATCCCTATGCAAACCAAACTAATCCCTTCACAGTGAACATAAGAGAATTCTATTGTTCTGAAATACAATGGTCTCATTGCATTTGTTAATAGCTAACCACCTATATGAGTAGTTCCTTCATTTCTGTGAACACGATAAAGAAATGGGAAGCGCAGAAACCTAAACAGGTACATCTGGGTTACAGAGGTAACTGTAGTCATAGTCAAAAGTGCTACGGCTGGGAAGAGCACCTACCCAGCATGCACTGTGAGTTTTCCACCATGGCAGGGAGCTGTGAGAAAATGGTTTATCTTTCCAGGTCCAGCCCCAGGCTTCTCATTCTGTAAATCTTCCTTGAGCTCACCCATACTACCCAAGGCCTGCAGAACCCACCTCTGTCCCCACCCCTGCCCAGCTCACCAGGGTGACTCGGAAAGGCCCGGTCTGCAGTGGCTCCTGTTCCTGGGCCCAGTAGCGTTCACACTTCTTCTGCAAAGTGAGGCAGGCAGGAAAGGTAAGGAGTGAATGGGGGGGTTCACTTTCAGAGAGACAACACACCCCAAGTGGAAGGACCAGCAGCTGCGGTTGACATGAAGCCAGTTGCAGAAGATGACATACTTGGACACTCCATAGGAGCAAGCTTTTGATCACGCTGGGGGAAACAGTTTGGGACACCCTCCTACAGCCTGGAGCTATAGCTAAGAGCATGGCCCACTACCTACCACAGACGTGAGCACTGCAGAGGTGTGGTCGCTAGTGGACTACCTGCCGTGCTGCCTTGATGGGTCACTGCGCTGCAGGAACTAAGGAGCCCTGTGTTTCCATGCTGAAGAAGCGCAGGTCATGGTTCAGAGAGGGCAACAAAGAATTTGCAGGAAAGAGAGAGCTATGCAAACAGAAACCAGGGAAAGAGAAAGTAGCAGATGATATATCTAACACTCTAACATTCTCTAACTCTGAACTATATGACACTTAAAAATCCAGCACCCAATGTCCTTGATCAGCAAAGGTGGAGTAAAATGTGGCTCGTACCAGGGGAACAACCAGGGAGTAGAAAAATCCAAAACTGACAGGGGGCGGGGGGGGGGGGGGGAAGACCTTAACAATGCAATATACATAGAGTCAAATGGAGATACAAATATAACAAAGAATGACATAAAAAGTAAAACCAGCCCTAAACAGGATCCCCACACACTCGCAATTCAATAATAGCAGGTTAAACCCCCAAAGACAGAAAAGCTGTGAACATGAAGACAGAGCAATGAATCAAAGCAAAGCTTTCAGACGTTCTGAGCTCAATTCCCAGCAACTGCATGGTGGCTCACAACCATCTCTAATATGATCTGATGCCCTCTTCTGGCATGCAGGTGTGCGTACAGATAGAAAAAATAAATTTAAAAAAGAAGAAAGAAAAGCTGAACGTTTCCCCAAAGCTGATGAAACTAGAGACTAAAAAAGTCAATATATTGAGGGTGGGAGAGGTGGCTCAGCGGTTGAGAGCACTGGCTGCTCTTCCAGAGGACCTGGTTACAGTTCTCAGTACCCACAAGGCAGCTCACTACTGTCTGTATTTCCTGTTCTAGGGGATCTGACACCCTCACACAGACATACGTGCAGGGAGAACACCAATGTACACAAAATGAAAATTTTAAAAATTTAAAAAGTCAATAATCTGTATTGGGGGGGAATATTAATATTAATAAAACAATGTTGAAGCATACCATGACCCAACTGATAAAAAAACAATATTAAAGAGAAAAATGCTGACAGCAACAATATAGAATGATAATTTCTTTCAGAAACTCTGCAAGCCAAAAGGCAATTGTGTGGTATCCTAAAAATGCTGGGATTAAAAAAGAAACCTTGGGCTGGATAGTTGGCCCAGTTGTTTGCTACCAAACCCACCTATCTGAGTTTTAACCCAGGTCTCAGTTGGCTGGGAGAGGGGCAACTCTTGGGCAGTTGTTCTGCCTTATACGCATGTGCCATAAGTAAATTAATAAAAGAGAAGCCTCGTCATATAAAAACTAGGCAAACGCACTGCAAGGAAATCTATGAGAAGAAGCTCCTCATATGTATGGAGCAGGACACCAGCTGGAAACTTGAATCTACAGAAAACAGGAAAGACAAAAACAGGTATATTGTTTCATTAAAATATTTCTTAAGTCAGCACACGCCTGTGATCCCAGCACTCAGGGAAGCAGAGGCAGGCGATCTCTGTGAGTTTGAGGCCAGCCTGGTTTACAAAGTGGGTCCAGGACAGCCAAGGCTACTAGGAAAAAAAAATCTATCTATCTATCTATCCATCCATCTATCTATCTATCTATCTATCTATCTATCTATCTATCTATCTATCAAGTAAAGCAGAATTACTACCAACCCTCCACACATCCTTGCAAAGAGAAAAACAAAAAACAACAAAAACCTGAAGTAGCATAAACAAGGAAAGCAAACTACCCACCAGTGACTCATGAATTTATAGCCCGAATTCTCAAGCAAATACTAGCCAAGTATTATGCATCAGGACCACATAGGATTAATCCTAGGAGTACAAGGTTTTTGAGACATCAGAGTGAGAGCTGGGGAGATGGCTTGGTGGAAAAATTTACTGCTTGCTGTGCAAGTGTGGGTACCTGAGTTTGGATCCCCAGAGCCCACGCAATACTGCACACAGTTGTATGTGTTTAGAATTCCAGGATTCTTTCACGGTAGGAGACAGAATCCCTAGAGGCTTGCAGGCCAGCGGCAAAACAAGAGACCCTGTTTCAAACAAGGTGGAAAGCAAAGACCAACCCCAGAGGTTGTCCTGTGACCTCCACACTCATAATACGGCACATACCACACACTACAGAGAGAGAAAGAGAGAGACAATTAAAAGCATAGCCCATTAGTGTCAGAGATCATATTAGTAAACTACAAAGCAACAACATAAGATCATATGAAGAGATGGAGAGAAAAATGTGACAAACCAACATAGTTTCATGGGGAAAAAAAAAAGGTGAAAAGAATTAGGAGTAGAAAGGAATTCCCCAATGAGTCGAGAGCATCTACAAACTCCACAGAGATGCCCAGCTGTGAAACCTAGAAGCACAGGAGCAAGACAGATGCATGTCAGCTCTAACCTCATCCCAGCCTACAGCAGCACAAACCAGGAAAGAGAGAATCCGAGCGTGTGGGGGGGAGGAAAAGAGGAAGTGACAGAGGAAAATGGGCCTGGGAGGGGTGTGTCAGGGCAAAGGCTGGAAAAGGAAGAAACAAAGCTTTGATTTATGTGCGACTGGCTCATTCTTATGAAGAAACTCCTAAAGAATGCATACTACACATTCCTGCCTAATAAAAGTCAGCAAGGTTGTTGGAACAGATCAAGGCAGAAAGGTCAATTTTGTACCATTATTCAGTATGAGCTATTCGGTGTGTCATAAAACAATCCTGTAACATCAAGAAGTGTAAAATATATGATACAAATTTTCAAATCCATAAATTTTAGTCCTGGCTGACCTGGAGCTCACTGTGTAGGTCAGGCTAGCCTGAGACTCACAGAGATCCACCTGCCTCTGTCTCTCAAAGGGATTAAAGGCATGAACTACCTTGAGCAAGCACTTTTGTTTGTTTTTGCTTTTTAGAGACAGGGTTTCTCTGTGTAGCCCTGGCTGTTCTAGAACTCACTCTGTAAACCAGGCAAGGCTGGCATTGAACTCATATAGATATGCCTACCTCTGCTTCCAAAGTGCTGGGATTAAAGGTGTGTGCCACCATGCCGGGCCAAGTACAATTTTTTAAACTAACCTTTACAAGGCAGAGGCTGCGGAATACCCACTTCCAGAGCTGCTCTTCCAGTGACATCCACAGGGTGTGCTTCATTAACTCAGCAATGAGTTGTGGCAGAAATGACGTCCCCCACAGTGAAGCATGTTAGAGATTTGATTCCCTAGGGTTTTTACCGGGTATTTCTCCATAGCACATCTCCGTTAGGCCTAACAGCCTATCCTTACAAAACAGCTCCGGAGTTGATAAGAGATGAGTTCATAGGAAGGCCTTTCTAAGAACCAGTAGTGTGCTGTCCTTGATCACCTTTTTGCACAAGGTACATAGCCAAAGCCATCTTCCGGAAAGGACTAATTTAGTGCTAGAAAGATAGCTCAGGAAGGAAAGTGCCAAACAGGATCCCGGCCTCACTGGCCAACCAGTGTAGCTGAATCAGGGAGCCCTAGGTTCCATGAGAGACCCTGACTCAAAATAAGATGGAGAGTACAGAGGAATATCCCTGAGGTCATCATCTGGACTCCACACACATGCTCACACATACTCGCATGCACCACTCCCCGACGGGCATGCACGCATGCACCCACGCACGTGCGTGCACACACACACAGAGGGCAAATTAGAGGACTCACTTCCTTACTAGAAGCTTGCAGCACTGTGGAATTAGTTCAGTAATAGAGCACTTGCCTAGCAAGGAAATGGCTTTGGTTTTGATAGTCAACACTGAAAAAAAAAATCTCAAAATTTACTAAAATAGTACAATAATCACAGCCTTGTCATGCTAACACAAAGACAGACTTCTAGATCAATGGGGAATAAATTGGAGAGCTTAGAAATAAGCCCTTACAATTACTTTTTCAGTAAAGATGTCAGGGATTGAATGGAGGAGACAAGGAATAACTGACTACTGCACGAAAAGAACTTTGGACCCCTGTCTCATTCTGTATGCAGAAAAATTAACTGATAAGAATAAGAAATCTATGTAAGAGATAAAGCCATAAAGCACTTAGAAAACACAGAAATAGGACATTATGCTTTAGACAGTGGCATCCTAGATGTAAAAGCAAAACCACTAGCAGAATGATAGAACACAAAAATTTAAAGCATGTCTGTGCCTCCAGGGTCACTGTTGAGGAAGAAAATGACAACACACAGGTTCAGAGATACTTGGCAATTGTATGTTGAATGTTTGTTTGTTTGTTTGTTTGTTTGTTTGTTTGTTTGTTTTTGAGACAGGATTTCACTGTGTAGCAATGACTGTCCTGGAATTCCATCTGTAGACCAGCTGGCCTTGAACTCACAGAGATCTGCCTGCCTCAACCTTGGTGGCGCTGGGATTAGAGCTGTGTGCCACCACTGCTCAGTACTTTTATCCAGAACTCTTTCAATCCAGTAATAAAGACAATTACCCAATTTTAAAATGGGACCTGAATGGATGGATGTCTAGATAAGACACACAAATGGACAAATAAACACATGGAAAACAAAACAGAAATGAGGTGTTTTTTTTTTCTTTTCTGATTTTTTTTTCCAGGCAGTGACCACACACACCTTTAATCCCAGCACTCAGGAAGCAGAGGCAGCAGGTCTCTGAGTTTGAGGTCAGCCTGGTCTACAGAGTGAGTTCCAGGACAGCCAGGGCTACACAGAGAAACCCTGTCTCAGAAAAAAACAAAAACAGCCAAACAAACCAAAAAAGGGATTCATTTTTTATAATTTTTAATTAGAAAGGTCACATGCATGTGGTCAGGGTTGTCTGTTCCTTGATGTTGATGCTAGGAACCAAATTTGGGTCCTCTACAAGAGCAGACTATACTCCTAACCAATGAGCCATCTCCCCAGCCCCATGAGTGGTTTAATGAGTGGGAAGGAAATAGCTGCTGAGCTGGGGAGACGGCTCATGGGAAAGAACAGTTGCTGAACAAATGCACACATGAAAAGACTGGTGTGCCCCAGTAACCCCAGTATTGCAGGGGTAGAGACAGGAGCATTGCTGGGGTGGGCATGGCTGCCCCAGGCTGAAGTAAAGGATGCTATGTCAAGGGAGAAAGGCAGAATGTGGATAGAGCAGGACAGCTTATATGTCCTCCCCTGGCTTCCTTTGTGTGTGTGCAAGAGCACACCCTTCCACACACACATGCACACAAACCTGAATGCACTCACATGCAAGTAAGTATTGCTGAACATATGGAGAAACTGAAACCTCTAGCTGGTGGAAGCATAAAAGGTATAGCCACCGTGGGAATAAAAAAATTAGTAAACAGCAATTCTACCACAGACTTATATTCAAATAACTGAAAAGACACAGACAGCACTAGAGAGTTAGCTCAGCCATTAAGAGTGCTCACTGCACAGTCACGGGCACTGGCGCTCAGATCCCAGCACCCACGTAACAAGCCAGGCCTCCTCTGTGTACCTGCAGCCCAAGCTCAGAGGTGAGCAGAGACAGGAAGATCTCTGGGGCTTGCTGGCTTCTAGCCTCACTGAGAAAAATTCAAGCACTCAGTTCAGGGAGAGATTCTGCCTCAAAAGGAGTAGGAAAGGCAGGCAGTGTCACAAGCCTTTAAACCTAGCAACGTGGCAGGAGCAGGATGAAGGCACAACTCTGCCAGTTCAAGACCAACCTCGTCTCATAGTGAGTTCCAGGCCAGTGACATACAGATGCATGCACACACAGAGGGAAACATCCATAACCGTGTACGTACACACACATACACTGACATTTAGACACATGTACATACGCTGACCCACACAAAGGAAAACAAAAGCCAGAATCAGAAAGATAATTGTTTACCCGAGTACGCAAACAGCATTGTCCATAGTGGTCTGAAAGGCAGAAGGAGCCCAAATGTCTGCCAACAGATGAATAGGTAAGGGAAACATGGCACAAAGCACTGGCATATTCAGTCTTAAAATGAATAAAATTCAGCTGGGCACGGTGGCACACACCTGTAATCCCAGTACCCAGGGGAGACAGAGGCAGGCAGCTCTCTGTTGAGTTCAAGGCCAACCTGGTCTACAAGGTGAGTCTAGGACAGCCAGGGCTACACAGAGAAACCCTGTCTTGAAAAAAAAAAAAACAATGAGTCAAGTTCTAATACACATGACAACATGGTCAAACCTTAAAAACATCAAGTGAAAGGAACCAGATACAGAAGAACCCATATTTTATAATCCCGTTCCATGATGCAACCAGAACAGGAAATTCAATGGACACAGAAGACAGGTGGCCAGGAGCAGAAGGAAAGGAAAAGTTTGTGCTTTTTATTTATGTGTGTGTGTGAGTGGAAGTTTAGGCTCACACAGAGGCACATGCATACACTCACTGACAGGCAGACACGTGTGTATACAGTGACACACACAAATAAAAACCAAAGCCAGAATCAAGCAGAGAGCTGTTTACCAGTGTGTGTAAACAGTATCACCATAGCGGGCTAAAAGGCACTGCGTTTGGGCACCCAAGGAGGCCAGAGGAGAACATCAGGTCCTTTTGGGGCTGGAGTCACAGGCTCTTATAAGCTGCTTGATGTGGGTACTAGGACCGGAGCTCAGATCCTCTGTAAGAGCAACACATGCTCTTAACTTCCAAACATCTTTCAGTCCCTTAAAAGGCAATTTTTATGTTTCTATATATTTTACCACAATTTTTAAAAGAAGAGACTAGTTCATATTTCCAACAAATGGCTATAATGAGAGAGAGAGAGAGAAGCAGGGAGCAGGCAAGAAAGGGTAAAGGCACTTTTGTCAAGACAACCCAGGGCCCCACACGGCTGGAAAAGAGAACCAATCCCCAATGTTTTCTCTAACCTCCACCCCCATTCCACCAAACGCATGTGTCTCGTGCACCCCCGCCCCCATAGGTAAAATGTTTTTAAAATGAGAAACACAAACATTGGTGGGGATGTAAGAAGGCTGGGGTTGTCATACATTATGGGTGGAAATGAAACCTGATACAGCCACTACGGAAAACAGTTGGTCACTTCCTTAAAATAGAGCTAAAAATAGAGTTCCGCTCTGACCCAGCAATTCCACCATATTCCATATACGAGAGAAATGAAAAGTTCTCGTCCACACAAAGGCTTGCATTCACAGCCGAGTGTGGGAACGACCCAGCACCTACAGCCTGCTTAGTGCAGAGGTGAAACGCAGACGCATTCAGTGGGGTGCCATCCAGCCATAAGCAGGAGCGAACTATTGACACGCTCCCGTACGCAAGAACTGAAAACACAAAGAGAAAGAAGCCAGTCACAAAAGACACCCGCTGCACAATTCCATTTTAGGGGAAACATGAAGAGTAGGCAAATGGGCTGTGATCAGACGTAGACTAGGGGCTGCCTGGGGCTCTAGACGTGGGGTGTGACTGCTAAGGGGGTGATGGAAATGTTGATAGCCTCCCTAAGTTGCCCAGGCTGGCCCCAAACTGTTGATCCTCTCACTTTGGCCTCCCAAGTACCAGAAGTACAGAAAGGAGCTGGCACGCCTGGCTGAACAGGTGAATTGTAGCTCAGTGAGAAGACATTTAAAGGCAAAAACAGCAGCTTGTGGGGGTGTAAGCGTGCTATTGTGACACGTTTTTCACGTTCAGGGTTATCCAATGTGTGGAGGTAGAGAAGAACTATGGAGAAAAATGGGAAAACCAGGAAGGAGTTACAGGTGGCCATGTGATGTTCCAGGTAGGAGAATGAGCAATGGGAAAGCGCAGGGCAGAAGACAGCCATGGCACAGGCCCTGAGGCGGGGCCCTCTCTGCCTCATCTGAGGAACAGCCAAGACCAGCAGAGCTAGAGAAGACTGTGAGAAGCAGGGAGGGGTTCAGAAAGATCAGAGCGGAAACTGGTCAGTGTAGGTCCGTGTAGGTCCTTGGCCGTATCATGGGCTGGAAAGCTCGGGCTGCCAGCACTGAGGAGACAACCCGTGATCAAAATGAAAGCAATCAAGGCAAAGTTAGGACTAGTGGCTTTTGCAGAGCTTCAACGGAGTTAGGCAAGGACGCGGCCCATAGAGCTAGGGACAAGAAGGAGACCCCGAGCCTTCCCTCCTCCCTGCACAAACCTCCCTTGCATTCCAGGAGGCTGAGGATACATACCCGTCCATTTTCTGTCTCTTGACATGCCATCAGGATCACCTAGACAAGAGGGGCAGGGAAGAGGGAGGAAGAGGAGAAATCAGAATGAGGTGGACTCAGAACCATGCCCCTCTCTGTTCCTCAAAGCTGACCTTGACCCCAAACTCCCAAACCAGGCGCCAGAAGTCCAACAGAGTGTGAGGCAGGGGTCCTTGCGTCGCGATATAGGCCTGGCTTCCATCTGTGCCCTGGGAAAGCCCATTCATTAACAAGATTCTGAAGCCCACCCTCCCCGCCCCCAGGCCACCCATCCCCTGATCACCAGCCTGACCCGGATGAAGTTGGCATTGATGTAATCTCCATGTCCCTCCTCCTGGAGCAGGGAAAGGATAACTCTGGTCTCATCATCTGCCAGCAGGTGAGACATGTGGAGGGGAGACATGTGTCAAGTCTCTGACAGCCTCCCAGGCAAAAGCAAGCAGAGTGACAGCACGCGAGTGGGGATCTGCCCCCTTGTGGCTTCAGGGAGTAATGCAGCCACATCAAGTGTGGGAGATAGAATGTTTTGGTGCTCCCTCGGCGGGCACTACCACCCAGCATTTGGCACACCCACTGACTTACACGGCACCACGTCTTTGTAGCGGTTCTTCCTCGTGTTCCCAAGCTGACTGCCGGCCTTGGTGGAGCAGACACCTTCAGTCTTCCAGGCCACTGAGCGGGCCTTGATGTCCTGGTGGAAGGCACCATGAGCCGAAAAGAGGAGGCAAGAGAGAGGAAGGAAGAAGCCAAGTGAGAGTTCTGGGACTGAAGCATCCAAAGAGCTCACGGAAACAGACAAGGAAGGCCTAGGGCAGACCCATCAGCATGAGGATCGATGTAATGATGTCCAGCAGCACCAAGTGAGCCCGGCCTGGCGCCAGGGGATTCAGTCAGGCTGAGTGGGGGCTATCCCCTGTCCCCATTGTGCAGATGGAAGTTGATGTAGGTCGCGACTGAACCACTTTCCGAAGGTCCCACAAGGAGGCACCCCAACAAAGGCTGAAGCCAGGTAGACTGCTCAGACCTGCGCACTCAACCATGTCATGCTATAGTATCAAAAATGATAATAAATATACATATTTGGACCCAAAAGATTGTTCAGTGGGTGTAAGTACTTGCTGTGCAGGTCTGAAGAGCTTGCCCTCAATCCCCACATCCCACACCGTGAGGGAGAAAACAACACTCAAGTGTTGTCCTCCGACCTCTACGACGGCGCTGTGGTGCACACAAGACCCCCACCCCCAAACAAGCGAAACTGGGAGATGGCTCAGTGGGTAGAGGTGCTTGCCCCCAAGCCTGATTCCCTGGCTCTGACCACCGGGATCCAGAAGGTATCCAGAAGGATAGAAATAACTCTCATGGCTGTCCACAAGTTCCCCGAAAAATGCACGTACATAATTAAAAAACAAACAAACAAAAACAGAGTTCAAAGTCATATGCAGTCATATGTGGTTATTATGTAGTTCTTCAAGACCTGCCTGAGCTACATGAGACCCCGTCTCAGAAGAAAATTAAAATAGGAGTTGGAAAAACGGCTAAGTGGTTAGGAGTCCTTTCTGCTCTTGCAGAGGGCCCAAGTTTGGTTCACAACACCAGCACTGGCCAGCTCACAACGGCCTGTACCTCCAGCCTCAGGGAGCCAACACCCTCTTCTAGCCTCCATGAGTACTTACACACATACATGTACACACACACATGCAGGCCAAATAAAAATTTAAAACAAATACTGTATGCCAGATACAATATAACAACGTGCTACAGAAGTTATCTATAACATGTAAGGAGATGCTATAGGTACGTCATAGCTGGTACGTTATTATAATTGGTGAAGGGTAATACTCCTATTATCAGGTGTTCATAACTGCAATAAAAATAAACACCTGTCAAGTTGCTGTGTGTTTGGGCCGCCACTCCAAAGTGCTTTACTTATGTTGATCAGGTTATTCTAGCCCCAGAAGCACCTTCCTAACAGTGGTTGGTATTAGGCTTTTGGTAATTTAATCACAAAGGTAGAAAAACACAAAGCCCTGAACTTCCTATGCAAGATTCTCCGTGCAGCCCTCAAATCTGCTCTCCTCATCAGCCTGAAAGATGCACCACATGCAGACTCATACACACTCTTTTCTTTACAAATTTTACATTTTATAGTTGGACGTGATGGTGCACACCTGTAATCTCAGCACTCAGGGAGGCAGAGGCAGAGGCAGAGGCAGACGCATCTCTATAAATTCAAAGCCAGACTGGTCTACAAAGCAAATCCAGGACAGCCAAGGCTACACAGAGAAACACCATCATGAAAACAAACATATATATATGTGCTTATAGATTTGTTATAGTATTTTATATGTGTAAAATATTTAGATTCACATTTAATTTATACATGTTTGTTGTATATGTTTACTTATGAACTTTATAAATTTGGATAGGATTTCCTCTATGTAGTCCTGAATGTCTTGGAACTCACTCTGTAGAACTCAAAGAGATTTGCCTGCCTCTGCCTCCCAAACCCTAGGATTAAAGGTGTGTCATGACTGCTATAAATTTGGTTCTATAAATTTGTCTATAAATTTGGTTCTTGTTCATCTTTGTTGTACCTATTGTGGTGGGTTTTTTGTTGTTTTATTTGTTTGGTTAGTTTTAGAGACAGCTTTTCTACCTAGCCCTGGCTGTCCTGGAGCTCTCTATAGACCAGACTGACCTCAGACCTACAGAGATCTGCCTGCCCCTGCCTCCTGACTGCTGGGGTTAAAGCAGACACAGTGGCTGTATTGTTACTGGGTTACATATTGGTCTTTGCATAAACTCTCTTTTTCATTCTTTGAGACAGTTTCGTTCTGTATTTCAGAGTGGTCTCAAATTATGTAACTCAGGCTGGCCTTGGACTCACGGTGATCGTATCTTAGGCTACCAACTGTTGGAATTACAGGCATGTGCTACCATGCCAGGCTGTAAATGGTCTTTTAATGTCATGTTTATTTTTATATACGTATACATTTCTGAGTTTGGTACAGCATATTTACGCATTTGGATCATGTCACTGTATTTAAAATACTACATTACCTGTCGTACGCCATGGCTGCTGAGTAGTATTCTCTCTCACAAGCTTGACTGGCACTACCTGATGGTTAGAATTTTTGTAAGCCATGTTAAAGGCACCTACCTATCTAGTGAGTACCCAATACGCGCTAGGAGCTTCTACCCAAACCAGCTAATTTTCAGACCAACTTGGTATTTAACATTCACAATTCAAAACAGGTGAGACTGAGGTCAGACCTCCCAAGGCCAAAGTTCTGAAGGGCCTTGGGCATAGACTCGAAACTCAAAACTCTTGGAGCTCAAAGGCTAGGCGACTACGTTTCCTTGTTCCTCTTTCTGCGGCCCAAGCCACTTCCTCCCTGGGATTACAAGGTGACCCAGGAGTGGCCCCGGGTGGGGACTGGAATCCAGCTCAGGTGCGCTGCTCCCTCCCCGGCGGAAGCCACCGCCCCGTCCCGGAGCGCGACACGGACAGCTGAGAGCGTCTAGCTCCTCCTGACAGCTGCAGACTTCACCCTCCGGGCACCTGCGGGCAGAGCGCGAAAGGCCGAGAGACAGAGCGAGAGCTCGGCAGGAGTGCCGGGAGAGGACACCAGAGAGTCGGAGGCAGGAGACGCCCCGGGAACGGAGGAGGAAAGGCAGACAGTTCCCATTGCACAGGTGGACAGCGGCGGGGACCGCCTGGCTGCGAAGTTCGGTCGCTGCAGTGTCACTCACGCTGAACTCACGGGCGAGGATGGCCCCCTCCCGGCGGTCCCGGGCCTCCAGCTGCTCCAAGAAGCTCCGCACCGGCTCCAAGTGGCGACTCATGCTGCGACCGCTCGGAGGTCTCGGCCAAAAGCGCTCCCGCTCGGGGAGTGTAGACGCTGCGGGGCGGGGCCTCCGTCCCAGCAGCCAATGAAGGGCCGTGGTGGCGGGCGGGCCGCGCCCCTCGGCCAATGGCATTAGGAGGTCACTCTTCGCCCCGCCCACAGCCACCGGCGGCCACCGAGCCCGGCGGTGCTTGTAGGCTGCAAGTCCCGCAGTCCCCCGCCGGCTTCCCGGCTGCTACCGCTGCAGTGCGGCGGGTTGCGTCCCCACGGACCGCTCGGACCCGCTTGATCCGGTCCCGCGAGCCTCTCCCGGTGGGCGGCCGCGCTCTCAGTCTCGCAGGCCGGCTTCCCAAGGTTGCTCTGGAGTCCAGCCGTGCAGCACGCGGACGTCCACGGCCGCGGGATGTCAGGGAGGACCGGGAAAGGCGGGCGTCCAAGAAAAGTACTGAGCCGCCACTGTGCTTAGGGAAGAGGTCTGCTCCTGGGCGTCTTTCAGTCTCTGGAAGCTGCTGGGAAAGCAGGGACGCTGGGATCCAGCCCTAACTTGAGGACCGTAACCCACACCCCTCTGAGAGGAAGAGAGTAGAGGGGTTGGGAGGGTTCCGGGGACACTTGAAGAGCCCCGCCTCGCACCCCACTTCAGGAGTTTGAAGGACAACCGCTGCTCGGGGTCCTGGGGTCCTGGAGACTGGAAAGGGGGCCGCGCTGAGACGGTAGCGGAAATAGTAGCGTGCCGGTCTAGCACGCAGGAAGCCCCGGCTTTCGTTTCCAGCGTTCCCCTAAGTCCCTGCATTCTGAAGGTGGAGGCAAGAGAAGCAGAAAGTCAAGGTCATCCTCGCTTACGCTGTGAATTCAAAGTTAGCTTGTGATACAGGAGACCCTGTCTCAAAGTTTTAAAAAGAAGGTGGTGGAATGGCCCACTGCGTAGAGGCACCTGCCACCAACCGTGATGTCCTAAACTTGATCCCGAGAGCCCACACGGTGGGAGGAGAAAACTGACTCCAGAGAGCTGTCCTTTGACAACTGCACGGACTCTACAGGGAGCGGGCATGCCCCTACACACACAACAAACCATAAAAGGGGCCTTCCAAAACTCCAGCTTCAGCAGCCGGGCTAGCGCCACCCGCAGGAGAACCCAAGAATTTCGAGGGGCCCCAGCCCCCTGCTGAGGGAGAGCTCCGAGGAAATCGGTTTTGGGGAAGCGCTGAGGAGCGGAAGGCCTGCAGGCCACAGAATGATCAGTGGGGCCATTGGTAACAGGCTGTCAACTTGGTGGCCATCACAGTCTTTAAGCGAAGGAATGGACAGTATCTTTAAGAGCCAGACAAGAACTGGTTTGGGCTTTATCGTTTGATCTCTGTCCTACTTACGTCACTTTGCCCACGGCAGCGCAAAATCAGCCAGACAGTATGGGGGCAGGGACTGTATCCAAAAACATTTTCCCGGAAAGGGGAAAGGGGTCTGGAAGATGGCGCAGCAGGCAAAGGCCCTGCAGCCAGGCCTTCAGTTCTGTCTCTGGGACACACATGGTGGAAGGAGAAAACCTCTTCCACAAGCCGTCCTGTGACCTCATAGGTATAACCCTTGCACAAACACACAAGTTAAGTGTAATAAAAAAAAAAAAAAAAAAAAGGTCTGGAGTGGTTCCAGAGGACTGGGATTTGGCTCACGACCATCAGAAACTCCAGTTCCGGGGGATCCAAACCCTCTTCTGGCCTCCACAAGCACCGGGCATGCACGTGGCTCAGATATACAGACAGCTAAAATACTCATATACATAGCATAAGTTATTTTTATTTAGTTTTTTGAAGACAGGGTTTCTTTGTGTAGCCTTGTCTGTCCTGGAACTAGCTCTATAGACCAGACTGGCTTTGAACTCATAGAGATCCACCGGCCTCTGCCTCCAGGAGTAAATGCCAGTGAGATTGCTGATGCCTGGTGGACAGGACGGGCAGCTGGGGACTCAGGGAGGCAGTACACACAAGGTCTGTGAACGTGATGGAAACAGGGAGCCACAGGAGCTGAGTGCTGGGATTAAAGGCATGCACCAACACCCAGCCAAATACATTTTTTTTTAAAGTTTTTGAAACTGCGTTGACACCAACCCTTGAATCTTGTTACAATTTTTAAATTTTGTGGTTTTCAAGCTCTAGTTTGCTGGACCTAGCTTAAACGCTGAGAGACGAGAATAAGATCAAACCGTTAAAATACTGAGGGTAAGTGATCGTTGACATCGGTCCCACCTCTCGGGGCTAAGGGAACAATGCAGAGGGGTGGGGACCGGGGATAGGAAGAATATAAGAGCCAGAAGGTAAGGAGCGCTGAGAAACCTTGTCTTCTCAATATGACATAGAAGTTTTACCCATGAACTCATAGCACGAGGAGCATCAAAGTTCCAGCGTGAATGAGGGGGGTGCAGGCAGTCATGTCCCTCCCTGAGAAGCTATAGTTATGGAAGGGAGTCATGTTCCTCAGCGGTGCACCCACTGGTAAGTTCTCCTCGCTCAAATAAATGAGCTCTCGTACCCCTTCCTGTTCAGGCAACCCCAATTAAATACAGGGGGCATACTACACACCAAAAACATGAAAGTCGGAGGGGGACTTGTGAGGAAGAGGAGCGAGATTAGAGAGGATAGTGAGAGGAATAAGACCAAAGTACATCATTTACGTATGTGTGTGTAAATTGTTTTAAGCTTTCAAAGCCGGGGATCTAAACTATTGTGTGTTATTGGGGAGTCACTCTTCACACTTGCGTGTTCTAAAGATTGATTTATTATTTATACAGTGTTCTGCATGCATGTGTGCCAGCAGGCCATAAGAGGGCACCAGATCTCATTATAAGATGGTTGTGAGCCACCTTGTGGTTGCTGGGAACTGAAAGCAGGACCTTTGGAAGAGCAGCCGGTGCTCTTAACCTCTGGGCCATCTCTCCAGCCTCCACGCTTGTGTGTTCTAAGGGGGTCAGCAGGAATGACCGAGGACGGACAGTAATTGTTGAGTTCGTTGGAGGTCAGTGAGAGTTGCTAACAGCAACTGGGAAGTTGGTGTCATCTGGAGCAGGGTGAAGAGCAATGAAGTAATGAGGGGCCAGAGGGACTTGGATGGAGTATTGATTCCCAAGGAGGAAGATGGCAAGGAGTAAACGCCAGTGGCATTGCTGATGTCTGGTGGACGGGCATGGGCTGCTGGCGACTCAAGGAGGCAGTACACAGAAAGTCTGTGAACTTGGTGGAAAGGGGAAGTCACAGGAGCTCAGTCTCTGAGAAGGCTAATGTAGTCAATAGCTAGGAGACTCCAGAGCAAATGCAGGAGTATCACTCAAGGGCCGTGAGAAGCCTCTGCGGAGCAGCAGAAGATATCACTGGTGGGCAATGGTCACTGGAGACTGGTGGTGCCCAGGAACAGTGGAGCACTGAGAAGCCAGTGGGTCAGCTATGGTGATAAGCAGCGGGCAGAGAGCTGACCAGCACCCAAGGAATCTCTGCTTTGGTAGATGTAAATCTCTCTGAGCACAGGAGATGAAAATCCACCTGGGAGACCACATGGAGTTTTTTCTCCAGAAGGTGGTATCCTATTGAGGGTGTTTTTCTCATAGGCTCCTTTGGCTAATAAGTAAGTCTGTCGCAATGGAGGCTGACTGGGAGGGTGAGGTGCATCTCCCCTGGGGTAATTTACTTGGGGGAGATGTCTTATCTTCTGTCAGCTGGAATTAACCTTAGACAGCAAGGAAGGGGGTGGTATATTTTTCTGGACCAACAATCTGTTGAGATGTCTGTCTTTTCACATGTCCAAAAATCCTTCCAGTTGTCTAGCTGTCTAGATGGAAATCTGTTTTCTTGGGATTCTGTCTATTTGTGATGGCTAATCTTGGTGGTCGACTTGACATTCCTGGGAAGAAGGAACCTCTGTAAATGTTGTTTTTATTTCTTCAGAAGAGGGGATGAGAGCAGTACCCAAACTCTGTTGAGCCCAGAGGGTTTCTAGCTAACTCTCATTAGGCCTAGGCCTGGAAGCTTCTAGCCTCTGTACAATCTAATCCCCTGCAAGTCTGCACCTTGAAGGCATCAGCTTCCAGCCTCCATCTGCTAACCCAGGCCTAGAGTGTTTTCAGCCTCTGAGATTTACTGTTGAATAAGATTACCCTTGCTAGCTCTTTGGTTTTTTGTTTCTTTTTTCAAGACTGAATTTCTTCTCTGTGTAGCTTTGGCTGTCCTGGAACTCACTCTGTAGACCAGGCTGGCCTCAAATTCATGAGATCCACCTGCCTCTATCTCCCAAGCGCTGGGACTAACGGTATGTGCCACCACTGCCAGGCTATTTCTAGCTCTTTCTGAACTATGGCTGGCTGGCTCAACTCATGTTCTGGCTCAAAACTCACCAAGCTAACTGATTCTCTTGGCTTCTCACTGAATTCCTCTGCTTGGAAAAACTGCCTCTGAAGTCCACAAACTCAACTGCACTCAACAGAATTGCACCCAACTGTGCTATACTCCTGAACTCTGCACTACTGTCTCTCCTCTCTCTCCATCCCTGCCTATTCTCTCTGATCTGTTTCTCTTTCAGGTCTCTACTCAAGCGAGTTTGGCATATACTATCTCTTACTCATTATGTCAAATCTTTCTCTCTTTGTCTGCTCCTCTATTAGACATGATTGTTTGGGATTAAAAGTATGTACTAAATTCCAGCTTGACGGATTAAAAGTGTGTCCTGTATATATTCCAACCAGAAGGATTAAGGGTGTATGTTCCAGCCAGGGGGATTAAAGGTGTGTACTAAGGACATGTCTGCTCCAGCTGAATCACATAGACCTAGGTCTTTGGATGTCATCCCTTGCCAGAGCAACCATGATTGCTGGATTAAAATTCCTCCATCGTATTGGCCTGTGGGCATGAATATGGGTTTGTTTTTAACTGCAAATTGATGTGGGGACCCAGCCACTGTTGGCGGTTCTACCCCAGGCAGGTAGTCCTGGGCCATATAAAAAAGCTGGCTGGAAAAGGACTTATTTAAAGAAAGCTGGCTGTGTACTAGCAGG